CCCCTCCCCGGGGCAAGGCCCCTCCGGTGGCCCGGTCGGATGGCCACGGAGTGTAAGTTATTTACAAGTCCGTGACACGGCCTGTAAAGTTTCTCCTCTGTCCGGTGTGTCCTTTTTTTTTTTTCCTTCTCTAAGGCTTCACTCCCCATTATCTTGAAATTCTTTTTCGAGTGCCTTGTAGAGGCAAAACACCGAAGGAAGGTACTCGGGAAAACTTGAGGGAGTCTTATGAAAGCGAGGACTGCCCTCCATGGTGGAGAGCTCCCTGGCACACTGGTAATGCAATGTCATCTCTCCCATCTTTTCCTACAGCGAGTCAGACGGCAACCCTAGCACAGAGGATGAATCCAGTAAGGGGCAGGAGGATTTATCTCCCCATCCACTCCCCACCTCATCCGATGGCGTTGCCAGCCTCAGCCTTCCTGGCCAGATGGAGCCCGTCTACATGCAGCAGCTCGGAAACACTAAAATAGCCTTGAGCTCATCTGGTGTCTTGTTGAATGGAAACCTCGTGCCTGCCAGTACTTCTCCTGTCTTTCTCAATGGTAGCTCATTTCTTCAGGGACCCAACGGTGTCATTCTCAATGGACTCAGCGTGGGGGCCTCGCAGACAGTTACCTTGAATTCGCCCAAAACCACCTCGAGGGTGTCCATTAATGACATCCTGTCATCTTCCTCAGAAGACACCAAGGACTTCAAACTGCTTCAAGCTCCGGTCCCCAATGCCACAGCAGCCACCTTCAGCCCCAGCAACATCCCGGTCTCATTCCCAGGATTGATACCAAGCTCAGAGGTGAAAAGGGAAAATGTACAAACTGCTGCTTCCCAAGATGGAGGCTCGGTAGTTACTTTTACTGCTCCTGTCCAAATAAACCAGTATGGCATTGTCCAGATCCCCAATTCCGGAACAAATGGCCAGCTGCTGAATGGAAGCATTGGTTTTTCTTCTCTGCAGCTGCCTCCCGTTTCTGTGGCAGCCTCACAAGGTAAAGTTTTCTCTCTTACAGTAAGAGGTATGAGAAGAAGTAGGGATTGGGCACACGTAGAAGTGTGGTACTTTTCTTTTTGTTAGAAGCTGTGGTACTTTTCCTCCAAGGTACCAGGATTGTATCACAGCTGCAGCCACAGACAGCACATCAAATACTACTTTTGCCTTCCTTTATAACGGGTTATGCTCGTGGTCAGACTGTTGCATAAGGCTGAGCTCATCTACTGAGAGCAGAAAAAGAGGTCTGGTCTCTTTACACCCCTTTCATCTCATGGTGTTCTCAGGAGTCTGCGATACTGGTCTTCACAAATATCTGTAAATTGTACATGTTTCAGTAATTCAAAATATTCCCCATTTGCCATTGAATTCTTTCAATGAGAAGGTTCATAAAAATGAAAATTGTGGCAGCTGGAAATTGTTACTGTTGTTGTTTTTGTGGTGGTTGTTTTGGGTTTTATTTTTTGTTTTTTTAACCAAAGCATTTCATTAAAATAAATTTTAAATTACTATAGACACAACAAGACTGAGCAGTTACACTCTGAACGTTTTCTGTCCCGTAATTATGAAAGATTAAAGTGCAAGGAAACAATAGAAGTATGCAATAGTTTGTAGATATAAAACACAAGGATATTTGGATAAAACTGCCCTCAGTCCAAGGGAAATATGTCATCACAGATTCATGTGCCAAGTGTGCAGGCTCCTCCCCAAGTTTGCTTTAGAGTTTGTCTTAACATACCACAGACTGAAACTCGCTGGCCAGGAAGAGTCTGAGGGAGCACAAGCCTAGTTCTGGATCCTTGTTTTGAAGCAGGTCAGTTACAAAGCACAGCTGAACAACTTTGTTACTCATTAGCCACTCTATCTTTGGTTATGAAAATGATTAAACTTGAATCTGTCTAGTTTCAGGAGGTGTGAGTACTATAGTGGAAATCAAACTGTGTTCCTGTTAGCTGATTGGAATTAGGCATGTGTAGGGAGTGACTTATTCTGGCTGTTAAAGTAATACGGAGAGGAATGCTGAAGCTGTGCAAACAGATTCTAAATTCCAAAATTGTAAGAACCTAAAATGTGGCACTTGGAGTCACTGGGAGTTTATTGGTAGAGAGTTTAACCAGGATGAAAGAGAAAAGACATTTAGTCTGAATACCACGTGTAATTACAAAAACCATTTAATCCACATGCTCCGAGGCATAAACTGACAGCCAGCAAAGGTGAGAAAGTTCTATCCCTTAAGTAGTGTGACATGACTGTATTTGAAAGTCCTAAGGTTCATAATAAGTTCCTCTCTGAACAATTTCCCCATTGTTAAAAACACCAGTTCCCACTGGAGAGTGATCCACCATATGTCTAGTGTGGTGCAGAGTCAAGATCTGTGTTTGCTGCTTTGGTTTCTTTTTTGTTTTTCTTCACACGAGCAGGATGGATAGCTGGCTGCCCATTCCAAGTGTGCTGCAGGCTATTTTAAGTAAGCTACAGTAAATGATACCTTACTGCAAACTTCAAGTTGCCTCTGTTGATTCTAGTTTACACAGATGAGGAACTTCCAAAAAATTATCACTGATTATGGGAAATGAATAGGGAGCTAAAATGTTCCCCAGGTAAAAAGTGCATCTTTGGTGCTGTTCTAAAAAATTCAAGTGTCTCCAAGTGTAACCTCTTGAAGTTATAATTGAACTGCTTTTGAGAAAGAGAGGTACTGGAAGCAGGACTCAGTTCTGAGAGCCATTGTATCTTATTTTAGGAATTATTATAATGACAGCTTACATGGCATGTCTAGTAAAATCAACTTCAGGTCATCTCTGGCTACCTGCTACAGCACGGGAGCAGTGCCATGGCCTTCAGCAAGGGTAGGCAGTCGCTGCCTGACTTTACACAGTGTGGTGGCTGTGGTAGGGTTAGGATTTTAGAAATACACAATAAGCAAGGGGAAAGGCAGTTCATCTGAGTGCTTGGTGGACTACTCAGTTAACACGATGGGAGTTACTGGTTTTTGATGTTTTCTGTACAGGTTGATGGGGGCAGGTTCTGCCCGGTCGCGGTGGGTTTCACGTGACGCGTCTATAGTTCCCACACACAAGCTGTCTGTCACTGAACTATCTTTAATAGCTTTTCATGCTTCTATTCTTAGACAGAAATGGAGTGGTGGCAACTAGTGAAGGCCAAAGCATGTTCATTTCAGTCACATGGCTGGGCACTGGTTGCCCCTTAATGAGAATCTGAAAGATACATAATATAGCAGAACCTGTTTGGTTTTTTTCATTCTAGAAGCAGTTTCTGTTAACAGCTTTTATGTCTTCTATCAAATTTTCTCACTTGCTACAAACAACACTGTTCTGTGCTGCCTGAAATACTAGCATATGTGTGTACTGCAAACATGAAAAAATATCAAATGATCTTGACAAAATGCCTGCACAACTCTCTGCCAGCTATAATTCGTGTTTTTCCTTTCTTTTGCTTCTCTTTCTCTAGGTAATGTTTCTGTAAATCCCAGCACATCTGACGGAGGAACTTTTACGACTGAATCTTCAACAGTGCAGCAAGGAAAGGTTTTCTTCAGCCCCCTTGCTCCAAGTGCAGTTGTTTATACAGTTCCCAATTCAGGCCAGGCAGTAGGCTCTGTCAAGCAAGAAGGACTGGAAAGAAGCCTGGTGTTTTCTCAGTTGATGCCAGTCAGTCAGAACACCCAACTAAATGTAAACATGTCTTCTGAAAATATATCCAGTGGAGGACTCCAGTCTCTGGCCACCTCCTTAGTGAATGTAACACCCTCACATAATTTTTCCCTCGCACCACCAACTCTTTTAAATGCTGCAGAACTGAATTCTGGTATCTCGGAGAGCCAGTCCATGTCATCACCCGTGACCAGTACCTCTACTGTGATATCTATCAGCAACACTAACTATGCAACCCTTCAGAACTGTTCCCTCATTACCAGTCAAGATCTGTTGTCCATTTCTACAGCACAACCCGTGCTTGGAGAAATAGTTTCTACAAGCGGAGACAGTGTCAGCCACCCCTCTGCACAAGTCCATCAAGATTTTGTCAGAGAGCACAGGCTGGTTCTGCAAGCCGTACCTGATGTCAAAGAGAATTTCTTACCTGATTCTGAGAGCAAGTCAACTGGCAACTTAATGATGCTGGATTCAAAATCCAAGTATGTTATGAGTAACATGGTTGACACGGTTTGTGAAGAACTGGAAACGGACAAAAAAGAACTTGCCAAACTGCAGACAGTTCAGATGGATGAAGATATGCAAGACTTATAACTTTTTCTTCCTTTTTTTTTTTTTTTTTTTTTTTGCTTTCTGTTTTAGTAGATAAGTCTCCTGTCGAGGCCCTAACAAGCACCAAGTGGTTTGGTTTGGTTTTTTTGTTTGGTGTTTTGGTTGTTGTTGTGGATTTTTTTGATTTAAAGAAAACAGAAGAACGTTTAAATGGTCTGAATCAATGTACAGAGGAATCTCCAGCAATGGAATCAGGTTGCCACACTTGGTTTGCATGCAGTATTCTCTTTTAAGTGGCTTAAAGGAGAAAGGTAACAGCAGGGCAAGTACCGAAAGAATGGGTACAGGTTTGGCAAAGAGATACTATCTTTACAATTTAACTAGACTCTCCATAGTACAACATAATTCTCAACAGTATAAGTATACACTCCTGACTTTAGGTAGAAAACAAAAATCTCACTCTGAAAAGGTAGTAACAATGCAGTCATTTTTGCTGTTTACTTCTAGTCCATGGGCATTGAGAAATTTTTAAGGAACTCTAGACGATACCTCACGGGCTACATTTATGTTGTTTGAGGTTAAGAAACAAAACAAAATCATAATATTGTTACTGGTGTGTTTGCTTTTCTCCAGCAGACTTGTGTTCATACCAAAAATCTTGCATCAAACATCTACAGGTTTATAAATGCTACAGCTAGCATTTCGTTAGTGCACCAGAAATAGCATCATTTGAAACTAATTATGCAGCTCAGAAGCTTTCTCTCCAGTATGAATGTAAATATTGTTTCAGTACTTATAAAGGAGACTTTTTTTAAAATTAGTACAACGGATTTTATTTATGGTGTATGTTCCCTTCTACTTTAGACACAGTGCATTGAAAAGGAAAACGTTTTCTGGCTGTTTAATTTATTTTTATTGTTTGAGCAGGAAGTAAACATAGATATTTCTGACAAGGTTTTACTTTTTTGTAGTTTTTCAAGCAATAGACTCTAAAAGTAAAATGTTAATCACACTGAAACCAGAAAATGAATTCCCAGTCTCACAAACCCAGAAGGTCCTTGTCTCTACCCCCTCTGCTGTCATGTTCAGGGGCTTTTTGTTTGTTTTGTTTGTAATTTGCAAATTAGTTGAACATTTTTTTGTGTATTTTTTACAGAATTCCACGTGCCTTTCTTCCTAGCGGCCTTATCTTTGTTACTAAAGCACAGTGGCAGAAGGAATAAAAACACTGATTTGCAAATATCCGTCCTCAGGGCCAAATCCTGATGCCTTACTTCTGCAAGTAGTCCCACTGACTTCAGTGTCCCTACTTGCATGAGTAAGAAGAGTTTTAAGTCTTTCAGTCATCGTGGGTGACATTTACCAGTGGTGCAGAGAGCCAAAGATGGGTCCTTCTGCACCACGTCAGTGGGGCAGGAGTTCAGAGAGGGACCATGGGCAGGGCCATCAGGCTGAGGGAAAGGTCTTGGCTCCAGCCTTGGACAGATGAGCAGGAAAAGTTGGATGGGCAGGCCAGGGGAGGGAGCCCCATGTTTACATGGACCCATTGGCCAAATAGCCCGTGTGGGAGGGCTTCAGCTGCTCTTCAAGCAAGCAGGCCCCCATCCAGGAGTGCACTTAGATGTGTATTTATATATCCCTCCAGAATAAGCAGCATGGGGGCTGATGGTGGGAACTGCAGCTGCCTGAAGGGCTCATGAGAGCAGCCGTGCTCTCTGCATGGCTGGGGATGGGTCTCCTCTCCCTTCACCCCTTTGCTCTGCGCCAGGGACAGCAGATGTAGGCAGGCTCTGGGCAGGTGGAACAGATCTTACCTTTCCTCCAGAGGAGTTTTTTTGTAGCATGGAAAAAGCACATCCTTAAGCTTTAAGATAATAATAAGAATGCAGATGTATAAAAATAACATGCTGTTAATCTTTGTGGTTTTGGTTTTTTTTTATCCTAATGTGAATATATACAGTAATTAAAGCATGTGTTCATCCTCGTCAGGGGCCTGGTCTGAAGCATTTGGAAGTCAATGGGAAATGTTTTCAAAAGCTTCTGTGGGCTCCAAATCAGGCTCAGGACAAAAAAAAAAAAACAAAAATGGAAAGGAAAGAGAGCAGAGGTAGCACATCCCAGTCTGTTTCTGTCTTGGTTGCTAACTGGTTCTGTGGAAAGGCTTTGAGGAATGAAGGTCTTTCCAGTGTGCCGTGAGCAGGTCATAGGCATCCTCGCTGTTGTTTTGCACTATATTGAATACAGCGTGTTTTGCAAGGTGCTCTGTGGACCCTTGAAGTTGAGCTCTGTCGAGGAGCACTGGAGTCTCTAGGGCTGCAGGGAAAAGTGCAGGGAAAGGGAAGAGCAAGTGTCCAAGGCGTGCAATGTGCAGCTGCACCAAGTCACTGATGCTCTGCGAACTGAAGTAGCCCGCTAGCAGCTGGCTGTCCCCATGTGCTCCCAAGCAAAAAGGGTGTTTAAGGCAAGCTCTTTAAAGTGGAGATTATCACAAGCAGAATGTGGAGCTATATGTTCCCCTGGCACAACTTCCCTTGACATTCAAGGGATCTCCATATGAGCGGGGAATCGGATAGTCCAGAGTTCTCCTCTGTGCCATGCTTGTTTATCTGTTTGCTGGTCTCCAGCATGAGCAATCTGCTTCCCACCTCTTCGCCCATAAAACCAAGATGATGATGAGGATAACAGTAGCTGTATCTGCTTTGCATGAATTTGTTCAACCCTTTGGAAAATTAGAAGGACCCTGTATCATTGTCATATTAATGGAGACCGCGTGCATGGCTCTGAAGTTGTTTGGAGCTTAACATGTTGCCTGTGAAGCTCAGACTATATTTGGAGGCAAACTAGAGAGTATTTCAGAGCACTCTCTCAGTTGTTGACATGATCAGGTCTCATAACTGAAAAGACTGTGGTGTTACACCAGTAGCTGTTACCTTTTTTTTTAAAAAAAAAATGTCCTCCTTTGCATTTATTGTGTTACTGAGGCTCTGAACTTCATGGCTTTGCAGCACAGTTGACGTGAAGACTGTGCATGTTGTTACAGTGGCTCGTATCTTGGAGTGTCTGGTACTTCTAATTGGAGACTTCCCACTCTTCAGTGGGAGCAGAGGATGTACATAAAAGCAGGGGTTTGGGACAAAATAAGATTAATCTGTTCTAGTCTTCCAGATATCAAGTAACTTATTTTATTGTTATGTTTTACTCTTTCTTTCTCCCATTGAAAATAAGTGTCATTCCCTCCAGATAACGTAGTTATAAATAACCTCATGTTTTCTGCAGGTACATATGCACAATATAAAGACTCATTGCACGGTACAGTGTTTTTAAAATAGATATTTAAATAGTAGTTTTACTCCTACTGTAAAATAAGGGTCAACTTTTATTATGTGGCCCTCAAGCAAGCAGGCTAACTGCTCTAAATAGACAGTACATAAAGTCCCGAAAGGCGTCTGGGGCCAGATCTTTGGCTGCTGAACATAAGGCATTGCTCCACTGATTCCCAAACTGAGGATTTTACATGGTGTCTGGGGGATATGGATGCTCATTTCCCACATATGTGAACAGCAGTGAGTGTCCACACCCCACAGACAGTCCTTATTATCACATTCTGATGTTTAAGTGGAAGGTATGTCTCTCTGGCATACAAGTTCCTTCTCCCTCCCTCTCTGTATGGATGAGAATAAAGGATCATTTCAACTTCACATATGCTTGTAACTTTTAAGTTCACTGGAAATCTTACAGGAAACATTGCCAAATTCTACTACTTTTCTGGTCCCAGACTTAGCTTTGAAAAAGTATGCTTAAAGTTTTAAGAAAATTCCTACAAAGCATGATGTTAAAAACCCCTTTGTTCTTTACTACTTTTAATTAAAGCTGCCTCTGTTTTGCTCAGAGTTTTGCAAGGAACCAGAACTATATTAAATTTAATGCTCTGTCTGGACTATTTGCAGCATTATTTCTGTGGTCTTGCCTAGAAGGACATTTCAGCCACATAAATCACAGACATGTGTTGGCCAGGTCCTTGGCTGGACTAAACTAGCACAGTTCTATTGGCTTTCATGTCCTTTCACACCAGCCAAGAATATGGTCCATTCATTTCACTGGGGTTGGACTGGGGACAGATTTGGCCCAGTATATGGTGACAGTTTGAACCAGTACACAAGGCTGACAGACAGTTATAACCAAATGGTCACAGTCTAAGCATATACCTCTTCCCATTTCCTTCTTTACCCTGCCTGCAGATTCAGGAAGACACGTTCTTTACCCAGAAGTAAGGCTGGAACCGTGTTTCTTGTTATTACTGTCAATCCAAGGTTAATGAGAAGATTGGACATATTCTGACTTCAAATCCTGCAAAATCACCTCAATAACTGCTTTCAGTTCAATTAAGCAGGACAAAATTTTCCCCATGTGCACAGGAGCTTTTCCCACATGTAGATTGCCAGTGCCTGTGCACTTTTCTTGGCAAGAGCAGATGAACAACCAAGAGGGTTCATCCCTTCAGTTTTCTACTAAGTATCTGTGCAGGACTCATCAAGGGCCTAAATCACCTAGTGCTTGTGGTTGAGAAGCATCTCAAATCATAACAAGAATTGTAATTTTATAACTCTGGAAACAAAAGTAAAGACATTTTACAGCCAAGGAGACCCCAAGTCTTCCTGTATCTCCTAGCAGATACTATCTTGAAGGATATTTTATACCTTGTCTGTTTCATATAATTTAAAACTAGCTTCTTACGTTTCTGAACTCAAGGAGGTGGTGAATCTTCTGACTTTAAGGATTCACATTCAGAGGATGTTTGTTCTTTTTTTGCTGCATGTACTGTTTGTCCAGAACTGACCAGTTATTTCTGCGATATGGGTTTATTGTGCCTTACTACAAATATGAAACTTCAGCAGAATGTACGTATTAGAGGAGGGAATAATCAGAAGTCTTTACTGCACTGTTAGATGATGCCACCCCAGAGTGTATCATCAAACATATCTGTGCTTAATTACCCAACCAAAGAGATCTAAAGTATGTTTGTTTGTTGTACTGTAATAGGG